AAACACGATCTGATTGACATCCACACTTAGCACTCCGGGAATTGTGTCATAAAAGGGGAGGAAATGCGGGCGCGCTGCGCTGAAAGACATCTTACCGCGACTTCCAAAAATATTCAGGAGTTTAACAAAAAACTGACCCATCCCGAGCTCCACAGCTTCAAAAGCAAACGCTTTCGCCCCCGCCCCTCTATATAGACGCCGCAGGTGCCGCGTCAGAATTAAGACCACCCCCCCGCCGAGCTCCTCCCTCTTCATTGGAAAACTCTCTCGAAGGGGACGAGAGGGACTCCGCGGAACCCTTGGGTGACGTCAGAATGCGTGGTGGAAACAAGGGATAGAAATGAGGCAGGAAGGCGTGGGGACAAAGACTGGGGCTGCAGGCTGAACTTCTCTTCCTCCAAGGAACTCCGGAGGAGCTCTGTGTGAAAGGGGCGGAGGGAGATAAACGGGGTGCTTGGCATTGTGCTGTCTGGCTTGGGAGCTGGGTGTGGAGCTGACGGTATTTGAGGCGTGGGTGAATGGTCAGGCAGGGCTGCTTTAGGGGTGTTGGAGCAGCTTTTGAGGCTAGTTTTAGAGTGGACAGTTGCCACTGGAGATCTTCTCTGTGACCAGATCCTGATTCGTGTTAGGCTTTAAAGATGAAAATCAGCACCTTCATTTGCAGCCAGAAGCAAACTGGCAAGGAGAACAGCTCTCAAAGTAGAGGTATTTTGCACGGAAGAACTTTGACACTCCCATCACAGGTCTGCATTCTGAACGAATTGACTAATTCAAGGCCAGTCCTATGTACAGCAAGTTGCAACAATCCAAATGGGGTTGGGGTGGCGATTAAGCCTCTAGAAGCTGTAAGGACGTCCTTGCAGTCCTAGGATTGTGGGGGCCCAGATGTAATTGTGCAAAATGCTTCTTAGGCATGGGTGCCATCTGAACCTGGAGCAGAAACTGTGAATCTCTAGGAGGACTTCCTCTCTGGGGCCAATTTGACTTGAGCTGCTGGAGAAACTAGGAGCCCCGTTTCCACAGAGGCATTGCACCGAGGGGTTTCTTGCAAATTTTGCTATACTGCTTTAAGGATACTAGACCAGTTATTGAACATGTATGTAATTTGTCAGAACTGCAAGACCTGCCTTTGAAAAAAATAAATATGACTCCTGATCCATTTAAACTGGGAAAATGAGGCAGTGCCAATTTTGCCCCAGGTTAGTGCATTACAGTTTTCAGCAGGACATATAAATTTCAATATTTGGGAGCTGGGGAAAAATTGATAAGAGCTCTGCCAGTTTAACTCCCCTAGGCGATTGGAAGACTAGTAAACCTGTCAATTAATCCTTTACAAGATGAATACAGTAAAGCTTTGTCCAAAAACACTGTAGGGTTAGGGTTTGAGGTGGAGGGAACTTTCTCAATGGCACATATGACTTCCCTCTTACTTCATCCCATAATCCATGTCTGCCTCACTGACTTGTCAACTGTTTTTTACCTAGATGTGTAAGTCTTCTGGGAGATCAGTAAGCCATATTTAGAAATGGCCTGTGTGTTAGTTATCAATGTGAAGCACCTTTGCTCCAGCAACCTGTCACTCGGTCACCTTAGAACAAGGATCTTCAAACATGGCAAGTTTAAGACTTGTGGACTTCAACTCCCACAATTCCTGAGCTAACATGACTGGAGGAAGAATTCTGGGAGTTGAAGTCCATATGTCTGAAAGCTGTCAAGTTTGAAGGCCCCTGCCTTTAGAAGATGGATAAAGTCTTGGTCCCATGCATTCATTCACACTTGCCTAAGTCTGCAGTATCTCACAGCACTTCAAGGCCCATTGGTGATTATTTGTTCTCCATGTGGTGATTTAGGATGAGAGGGAAAACAAAGCCACAGGAACCTAGTTGTTGCTTAAATTTTCCCACAGTAAATTGGTAAGGATAGATTCACTTGTAAGCCTAGTTACTGAGGCAAATTGTATCTTGGCTATCAGGGAAGTGCAAATTAGGCTTGCACATCTTTCTTCTGACTCAAAAACCAGAGGAAGAGACATTAACATGTCTATGTGAAAAAGCCCTAATCATCAAGGTAGCCAGCTTATGGTTCGATGCTTTCCAGCCTGGATCCAGGCAATAGGGCTATTTCAATAAAGCATGGTTAAATAAGCTATAGGCCAGGGTGTTGAGTGTGCCCAGTGGGGATTTAAATGCTTAGGGCTCCAGTCAAGGATTTGTGAAATGTCTCTGAGGAAAAATAGATTTAAAGATTGCTGAGTGCATTAGCAAGAGGGCTTCATCCAAGAATCTTTTCCTACCTTAATCTATTGTATTACTTCTTCCCCTGCAATTGTTTCTCTTAAAGCAAAAGCGGGGAGGGAGAGGCAGGAAAGTGGGGCGATGTAACACTTCCTCTCAATAATGTAGCAGGAAGTATATTGGCCCTTTCTCAGTGTTTTATGACCACCTTCACCAGTCTAATACAACTTTGAGGAGGGCTATTTAAAGTAGGGGAGTGACCTAAATGATCTACAAACCATCATTCCATTCCCTGTAATCCAGTGGAGAAATCTAATTGCAGATGTCCTAGACAGACTAGTTTGTTTAACCATGGTCCCTCAAATGGTTATGTTCATACAACCCACATATATTGATTTAAATCCAAGTTGCAAAATATAAAGACCTTGTCCTTGAAAGAAACATAACTTTTATTTTCCAAAAGTTACATAGGAGTTTTTAAAACCTGAAAAGATCAAATTATTTTGATTTGGCTATCTTAGACTTAGTTAATTCTATTGATTATTTTTCTTGTAGACCGATTTTTAAAGAATGAGAGGGATTAGTTTACCGTGCAAGATTGCTATTCAGTGGACATGCATGGTTGAAATCCTGGATTTGAATCTCATTGCTTTTTTGTTCCTGATGCTCTTGAAATATAATTTCCAGCAAAGAGTTTTTTGCTGTCTGGTCAAATGTTTTGCAGTGAGGAGATAGATACATTTTTTCAGAAAATTGAACATTATTGAAAAGTAATATATCTTGGGGTGGAAGCCCTATTATCCTGCTTAAATCATCCTATCATTTCAGCCTACTACTTAGAATCTGAGCTTTTAAAATTGAGAAATGGTATCTCTTGATTGACTCATGTTTGTGAAGGGAGTTAACAATGTTATTTGTAGTATGCAAAATGTTTATTTTTGGAGTAGAAACAGGCTCCTTCAGTACATGAGAAATTAAATTTCTTAAAATGAGAATGTGACACCTGGACTTGAACCAGAGATCTCTTGATCAGGAGTCAAATGCTTTACTGCTGAGCTATATAGCCTCAGCTTTTTGATTTTGTTGTTGCTGGCATCTTTGTGGTGTTGGAAGAAATTTCCTGAGTTCATTTCCCTGCTGAGAAGTAGTCACCAATGCTGAGAAGAAATAAGCAAGAAAGCCAGAAAAGAGATCCTTTAATTGAGGAAGGCAATAAAAATAGCATCTCAAGCAAGCTGATTGGCATGATAAGTTTATTGATTTTTATACCCATTTTCTCTTTGAAGTTTGTGTGGTTTGAAGAGATTTTGTGTGTGCTTTTCGTTAAGGTGATTGCTCTGAGTTCTTAATGGGTTTATCTTGTTCCTAGGACTTTATCTTTCTTATCCTTCTAATTCAGCTAGGAAAAGGGGAGTTCCAGGTGAGTTATTTTAATTGGTTTGAGTCTTTCAGGATCTACCTCATAGTCTAGTGTTGTTGTTTTTTGTTATTCCTCGTACTAGCCTTTGACAGTGGCCCAGATTTTTAGTTTACTTTGTTATTTCTATTAAGGCTTCTATTAATGGCTTTTGGCAGCACCCCAGATTTTCAAACAGCTTGAGCTGGGATTTTTGCTTAGGCTTTCTTAAAGGCTGGCACTGTTTTCTGAGATTTCTGGTGCTGTGAGGTTTCTAGCACTGTCCTTTTTTGGGGTGCACTTCATTATATTGAAGTAGAAGATTTTTCTGTAAATTATCTTAGTTTTTTATGTGAAGTAAGAATGTTCTTCTCTAAAAGGAATGACTGAACAAGTGTTTCCTTTATTTTGTTTTCAAGTTACTAAGTCTTAAGAATGGTTATTCATATTTTAAAATAATAAATTGTATCCTCTCCAGATACTACAAACTTTAACTCCTGTAATAAAAAGCCACATTAGTTGGACTTTATTGGTAATCCAAGAAATAGGAATTCAACAGTTTGAAAGAGAGCTATTTAAAACAACACACAAAAACTTATGATGATAAAATATCACTCAAATGAAAGATAGTGTATCCAATAGATTAAAAATCACCGTGTATCCTCTTAAATATAGGTCATTTTCATGGAAAGGAAGGTATATGGAGGTTGATATATAAATGGTGGTGGTGGAAGATCTGCTTATTATGAATTGTATCTGCATATCTAGTGAGTACTGCTATCCAAGCCAGGGTTAACTGATCTTTTTGCTCTCCAAAAAAAAAAATGCAGGAAGCCTTAATATGGTAGTGTAGTCCAGTGTTTTTCAACCTTGGCAGCTTGAAGATGTGTGATCTTCAACTCCCAAAATTCCCCAGCCAGCCAGCCATGCAGGGGTGGGCAACCCACAGCCAATAGGTTATGCACTCCTCCAGATATTATTAGTGGTATCACTGATTTTCAGAGGTATAATGTTTGCAGTATTGTTTGATGAATAAAATAAAAGGCACGTGCATATATGCACACACACATGCACATGCAGACACACACACACACACACACACACACACACACAGAACCAGATAATAGTGTGTCTTTAGATATTCTCTTGGAGACCTATTCACATATTAAAAAAAACAGTCCTTGATCCCCCAAAAAATTGTTGACATCAATCCATTTATTATTTTAAGAGTAGCTCCATCTTTTAATGAATTACACATCTCAGATGTTTATTCACAAATGTACAATCAAAATAGATGGTAGACAACTCTATGTACAAATACTATTTACAAGGAATAATATAGCTATTTCAAAAACACTGTTTCATATTGTCTATTTTTTTTGGCATCTCCAGTCATCTTTTTTCACCTCGTACTCAAATGGTTTCCTGCAAAAAGAGAAAAAGAGGAATAAGATTTTAACTAATACAGTATGGACAAACTTGTGCTTGCCATTGGTTTTAGATTTCATTTCCCATCATCCCTTGCCTTGGTGCTAGGTGGGGAAGTTGTTCTGCAGTTGCTCATCCTTGTTTGAATGCTGCATGCCAATAAGTTGTGTTAAAGGGAAGTATGTGGGCAGTGGATATTGGGGTACAAAGGTTTTTGTGGTGGCCTATTGCAAGAGCCTAGAACTCTCACACCAATAATCTTTGTTGCATTAATGCAGCCTCACACTCTCCTTCCAAGAATCTTGATACACCCAAAATCAGCTGCATTGCAATTGCTATGAGATTTGTTTCCACTGCTAGCAATCTCAGGCTGCATCAAGATTTCTGGAAGAAGGTAAAGGTAACCTCCTAGCATGCAGCCAAAATGGCAGTTTACCCATTGCTGGCAATCTCTTCCCGGGTGGCACAATACTCACTCTCTCTTGGGCTGCATCCGTCTGCATACGAGTCCTTCTAAACAGGGGCACACCTGGTTCATGCTGAATGCAATCCCTCCTTGGGGGACATGGCACATCTCATCTAAAAGCAACCTTTTCTTGCAAACCATTTCCCCATGGATACGGGCACAGCAGGAGCCTGGAGAGCAGTCTTCATTGTGATGACAGCGGGCACCTACAAGGAGCAGGCAAGATAGCATAAATGTGGGGACCCAGCTGAGCCTGAACCGGGGCAGGGGAGAGAGAAAAGGATTTTGAAACCATTATAAATTCATTGAAGTTGACTTCAGCAATGGTTTCAAACTAAAACTAGTTTAAATATTGGCATAATTTAGGCATGGATAAAATATTACTTAAAGTGAAAACTAAAGAGTATAAGAATTTTCTTGGTCAAGTTAAGTTTCTCATCAGAAAATGGAACAAACCTTCACACGTTACCTCAAGCATTTTTCCACTGGTATTTGGAAGCTTGTAAAATATGAGAATCTCCCTTCCTAAATTAAGTTTAGCATGAATTCCAACCTCTGGAGAAAATAATAGACAAATCATACATCCAACCCTATTTCATTAATGTTTGTGGTTTGATAATATATATATTCATGGGCACAGGATAAGAATCAAAATAAGAGGCCTGCTTAGCACCTCAAATAATAAAAAAGATATATTTAGATCAGTCCCCTCTAACCTGATGTCTATGACTGCTGGGCATGGTAGATTAAGGAAGACTGCATAAAAGAAAATAAAAAGGCAAAGTCTGAACAATTAGGTAGTCCTTAAGGAGCATCTTGATTACAGTGGCATGGACAGAATTTATCAGATAAAGTACTTTCTGAAGGGGTGAAAAAACAGTCTGAAAGCCTAATCCAATACTGTATTGTGCAATAATTTGTCTAAATATAATTTACTGAAATAAATACAAGCTCAGCTGGCCCATCTACTAATGCATAAACAGGTAGACTATATGATGGCTGATTAACCCCCAGTGCTTATTAGCACTAGGGCAGAAGTCTATAAGCAGACTGTCGGAAAAAGAAAAGCAAACTGATCTGAAAAGCAAGCTGACCTTTAAAATTTGTGAAAAGGGGGACTTGGGAACAATAGCCCCAATACTTCTGGAAAGTTCCAGGTCAGGAAATGTTTAAAAAAAACAGGATGGTTTTCAGAATAGCATTCTTACCATCTGCAGTGACAAGCTATTCATTACATACATTTTTTGCCTAGGTTCTTTAGACTTCCTTTACCTCTGATGAATAGTTCACCCCTCTATAGTTTACCTTCGTGACCCTTAGGTGCAGTCGGCAGGCATTTCCCAAACATACAAGTCAGATTGCTGGCACAGTGGGTATCGTGGCGACAGTATTCTCCTTCTTGCTTAAGTGGCCTGCAAATCTCAAAGTGGAGGTCACAGAAGAACCCCAGTGGACAATCAGTTTCAGGACTGCACACATTTGACTATGTACAAAAGGGAAGGAGAAAAATATTCAGTTAGGTGCCCCACTAATATGGAACTGCTACACTTTAGAATCAGTTTCATACTCATAAATGATTGGGACAGGAAATATTATTCGGTAAAGAGGCCAAAGCTAATCACCAAAAATGTTCACATTGGGGAAATCTGTCATATTTTTTGTCATAACTGGTTTCAGTTCAAATACTTCTTAGAACAAACACTTAGATTAATACTGTCAAATAAAATCCAAAATTACTTTATATAAAGGCCTCCAATTAGGTAATGATGGCTGGGATTTGAAGTAACAAATTATGAAAAACCAGAGCAAATTCAATTAAAATAATTTTTTGGTTAAAAAAGCAGTAATTATCTAGATTCCAACACCATGCTAAACCACAAATCATGTTTTACAAGTCCTAATACCCAAGTACATGTTTAGCAAGTGCATGAATCAAGTCTTATTTCCTATAAAAACAAAGGTTGGTTCCTGAGGAGAGAAAACAATTGGATTATAACTCTGTTGGGACTATAGAGTTATAAAACATGTGGAAGCTTTTGAGAACTCCAGATATATTCCTTAGACTAAGTGGCACAAAAGCAGGAACTTGAGCAGCCCTTCCTAGCTTGATATCTTAGTGCAATGTTTCTAGGTCTCATGCTAGCTGAGAAATTCTGGGAGTTAAAACCCACCCATCTGAAAATTGCTGTGATTGACAAACAATGGATTGGATTATAATCCATACCATTTCCTTACTAGCGTTACCAATAGCCCTGGAAGGAAGGAATCTGGTGGAAGACATAAAATGCAATGCTTCTTCAGGACATGAAACTGGAAAATATTTTTCTAAACATTGAGCAGGATGAGATGCAGGTTTTTACTTACCATTAGCTCTAGGCTGGATGAAGGTCCAGGGTCTGTAAGAGATGCTAGTTCATTGACACTGTGACCAGGCAAAGTATATATCCAGGCCCATATGTAGCTGTGTGCTGTGGGCAAGAAGCAGAGAAAAGCAAGGAGGCAAAACTGATTTTTCATCATTATAGCAGCCTTGGTTAAAGCAGTCAACAAGGATGGAGATACTCTCAAGCAAACCTGGGAAAGTTTATATAGCCTATCCTATCTCAACCCCTGCTGTTAAAGCTGTTTGCCAATCTAATGGGTAGGAGGAGGAGGTGGTGGTAATCAGGAGTAAGGAGCTTAGCATAATGACTTAGGGGGTGCCACTTCAGGAGCAAAGAAAACCCATGGCTCCCTGGGGGAAAGGCAATACTTTCTATCTCCACTTTGGAAACTGCTCCGCCAGCAGCATTAAATGTGGAATAAAGAGTCAACATCCTAAATCAAGAGTAGTGGGGCAGGGAAGAAGGGGGAAGAGAAGCAGACAGACTTATAATTTACAGCTGAAATGTTGGCATCTGTCTTACAAGGTCATTTTATTTGTTAATACTATGCACGGGCACATATACATACACATTATTCTTCCTTCTTTCCAAACTGTGCTGGTACTCTTAAACCCTTTTTAATGAAAATATAAATAACATTCTGGTTACACATGCAAACTTCATGCTTCAGTGTTAACTTTTCCACTGTCCTTCTTGCACCCGAAATTCCCATCACTTGCATTTTGTAACAACTTTTTAAATTAAGGTTCAGAGGATTTCAAAAGATGCCCACAGTTCAAAAATCATACTGGTCCTGGTACAGGGATTTGGAGAAGAAACAAGCTAATGATATATTATGTGATTTCTGACTATTGGTTATGAAAGTCCAAGTTTCAGGTCAAACCTCTCCAAACAGAGATAAAATTTTCTAGAATGCAGATCAAATTTTCTTCTCTCTAAACTGTTGGTTTAATTTGGAAAAAGACAATAAATTCTTCAGGTCAGAATATTCTTAGTGGCCCTTTAGTCTTAATCAGGAGCTGGAACCCTGTGTGTGTGTGTGTGTGTGTGTGTGTGTGTGTGTGTGTGTGTGTGTGTGTATACACACACACATATATAATTTGCAATTGGTAAATTCTGAGTTTCAAATACAGTGCAATAGAATAATACAATACAGTAAAATTAAAGCATATACCAAATCTAACAAACCTAAAGTTTGCCAGTTCTGTGCCAGAACATTAGCCCTAGACATCTATTTTATGGAGTGTCTCAGGGTTCTATCTTTTCCCTATTTTTGTTTTATTTTATTTTTACATGAAGTCACTAGGAATGAGATATGCATGGTAAGGTACCATCAGAATCCTGTTGTTCCCCAGCTGTACATCTGTCATGTGGACCAACTAAGGGAGGCTGTTGAAGTTGTTTCTCAGTGCCTAGGCTCTGGCAGTTTGGCTGGGGAAAGAATAGCTTTCAACTGAACCCTAAAAAGGTCAAACATCTACAGTTGTGGGTATTAAAATGTGACATATCCAAAGATTTCTACCTTTCCGTCTACATAAGGCTGTACTTCCCCAGTTAGAGTTGATGCATAATTTGACAGTCCTCTTGGACTCATGACGTGACTGGCAATAGTTTTCCATGAATTTCGGCAACATTCTTTCCATTACTAGTTGATGGAATTACTAGGAACTAACACAAAATGTATGCTTGTGGTCTTTCTCTAAAGATATGGCTTCTTATGTATAGAACTTACCTTTGGATCTTATGCCAAATATGACTCAAATTCCTAGATATACAGTATGGGACTTATGAAGTTGGACAAGTTCAGATCCACCATTAGCCACAAAAATTCCTGGCTGACTTTAAACCAGTCATTCTTTCCTAGCCTAGTTTATCCTCCAGCTTGTTGTGAGAAATTGGAAGAGGGATTGCTATTCATGCATGCTGCTTTGAATTCCTGGAGAAAAAGCAGAACACCATTAAAAAATCCAAACAATCCTCTTTAGGAGAAAAAAATAATTTGATTTCCAGACTACTGCATTAAACTCATGTGAGGCAACTATAAGTCCAGCTATGTGGCTCCTACTTCACTTGAGTTGACCATGCACATAGCACATTTATTTCTTCAGCTAATAGGGGTTCATAATATGGAAACTTCAATGGGAAATGTTTTTGGACTGTACAAAATTGATGAAAATTTGCCACATATGTGCTCATGAATATAGAGTTAATTTTTCTATATGAAAAATACACGAGAGAAGGAGGAGGAAATTTCAAAACAGTGATGGCTTTCTGTTTTCATTTATAGATATTTTTTACTAAGTATATTTCAGTGGTTTTATTTTGAGATTTTAATTTAATGCCTTGTTGGCTAAGATGATGGCAAACGTATATTGGAGGGCAGTTCTTGCAGGACTCCCAAATTATGGGAGCTGTCAAGTTTTGGAAACAAGCTATTGTAATCACTAATCAAACTTACTCCTTTCCTTGCCTATTCTGTGCCAGCAATTTAAATTATCAGTTTATGTCCCTAGCTGAGATCCATCAATCATCATCTCCACTCTGCTATTGGCAACCCGACAGACCCCATTTCTAGATATATTGTTATTGATGGTGAACACAATAAACAAGCAAAACCCCTTAAAGATTATTGGATATTTATGAAACAGGATTTCATGGTCTGTTCCATGGAAATGCAAATACCATTGCTGAATAGTGTGTATGTTTTTGGATAAATGTGTGAATGTTTATACAGTTCTAAACCGCTCTCTTCATACAGCTCATCTCCTCTCAGTGATGGTTTTAGCACCTTCCTTAATGGAGTTGCAAATGGGATTATTTACCTTCCTGATGTCTTTAGCATTTTCTCCCTTGGACAGTTTGGCCCAGCTGGGAAGGAGATTATGGCAGCTTTGGACAAATAAGCAAAAATAGGTGCTCTGCTTGCCTGGAGCCACTCAGAATGGATTCCTCTGAGACTTCCTGAGCATATCTTTCACAAGATTTGTACCACAGTGAACATATGTTGACACACACACATATATTTCTTAAACAGTCAGAGAGCCAGGAGTGTTTTTATGGCCAGCAACACATTCTAACATTCCTTCAGGGCTGGAAACAGAAGTGTCTTCTGCTTTCAAAAATAATAAATTATGTAGTCCCACTAAAAAGCCTAGTTGGTATGAAACTAAATTGTATTTAAATTAATCAGATATAAAAGAAGACTTATAATGCATGCACAGACACATGCATCTGATTATGGTGCTCTATCTAGAAAAAACATCTCCAAGAAATGAATTCATACAAAGCAAAATGTTTGTCTTGAGGACAGTTCAAAAAACAATAGAATGGAGTCTATAATTTAATAAAGTTACATAGCCTTGTTATTCTTGTTCTGATTTACAAACAACAAATGGTTGTCCTACAACCATTTACCTGCTAAGGGCTGGGATTGTTCATTTCACATACATCATGCTAAGAATGCATAGGCATGACACATAATTCATGGTCATCTCAACGGTACTTTATTTAATTAAGGCAGTTTTCGGGGTGTCCATGATGCAATGAACCATCTACAATCATGGGTTTGCACAACACAGTAGGCTAAACTAAAGTCTGGCTGAATAATAATTGGTTCAGTGAATCCAGTAAATCCAACATATAGCATGGTTGCTTATTCATGGTTTATGAGAAAAATTACAAATGGTTGAACTCTCACAAGGTCCTTGTGAAACCCCATACTCTTCTAATACCAACCAACCAAACAAACAAACAAGCAAACAAAAAACCAACCCGACAACCCCAAAGTATGTTTAGGTGTATTATGATATGTGAGCCCATTATTGAGCAAAGAACAACTCAGATTTTCAAAGTTTGCACATCTTCCTGTCCATGTATTTGTAGCCCAGGACAAGGAAAAGAGATGCATGCATCCCCCCACCCACCATTGTTGATTTCAAAGAAACAGCTAAGGCAGGGCCTGGGAGATGAAGTCTGGGCCCCCTGCATTAGAGAATCCAAAGGACTTTACTTGGAAGCTGAAGATTGCAACTAATGCAGCTGTGCACATTGCAGCTAATGCAGCACCTTTGGAGCCATGTGTAACAAATTCAAATGAATAGGCTCCATGTGTGTTCAGAAACATCCCATTTTGTCACAGCTATATTTTACACTGATAGGTCTTCGGACTATTCCAGGTGACAAAGTAGAGCCAATACATTTGAAAACTATCCACTTATACATTGACAGACAAAGCTTGTCCTGGAAGCCTGCAAAGTGGCCACATCGTATAAAACACAGCTTCCAGGAAGCCAGGTCGGAAATTACAAATACTAGCCATAAACCATGATCTCCAAACTTAAGCCAGAACTAAACAAATTATATTATGGTTTGAAAAGTCACACGAACCAGGCTATTGTCCCTAATAATCAAATAATAGTTTTGAGAAATAGATTTTCCAATTTCTCTCTGAGAAGTATTATATACATAGAAAGAAAGCGGGGAAAAGGAAAGGGAGGCAGGGAAACACTAATATTAATTTGGAAAACTGGTTTGATCTACTTTTATTTTCTTTAACTTTCAATTCAGCACTGTTTATATATTATTGTCAGCAATTCCTGTTGTTTCTCAGATCTTGTTAATTTTATATACAATCAATTTATCCTGTTCAGGAAGGAACACTTTGTCTCACAATGTTTTTGCAACATACGCTGCTAGAATTATGATGGGAGACATTAAAAATTCTTTATAAAAGAAAAAAAAGTACAAGGAAAGAATTTTGCTCAGTAATAGAGCCTTTCTCAGTAGTTTTAGGTATCTGTGGTTCAAATCTGGCAATTTCCTCAAATAAGTATTTTAAACAAACCTACAATTAGTCTGAAGATGTTGCAACGTTAATTACATTTTATTTAAAAAAGAAAGATGTTGACAATGTTAGCAAACAAAGTGGTATGTAAACCAGTGTTTTGGGTTATTTTTACTTCTGCCAGCATTTGTTTTATCAAATGAATGAGATCCAAATTCTATTATTCAAACTATGTACATGTTATTTCCATTCTGACTACAATTAACAAGATTTTAAAATTTGTTTGGAGAGAGGCAATCTATTGAGAAAGGGTGGAATGTGTTTACTCTATTCTGCCCTTTGTTAAGCTGCTT